CTCCCACGGTTGCCGATCACGCGCTGCGATGTAAGCCTTCTTCACGGCCTCAGACAAGAAATGTCGGATGTGCTCCAGACGTTTCACCCCTTCCTCATCAATTCGAAGCGAACTGGTCAGCTTCGCTTGGTGTTTCATCCGCTTCTGTGATTGGGCGACAGTCGATATCGTCGGGGGCGACGGCCGCTTCAAGCGACTCAACTGTTTCGTGCTGGACGAGTCGACGACGCTGGTGACAAGGAGCTCTACCTCCGACTCGGTGTCTTCATCGTCCGACGCGCTACGGCTGCCCCCGTTTTTTTCTCCTTTCTCATCGATCGTCTTGCCCTCGTCCTCATCGGAGTCCAGGCATTGCACGCTAGCTTTCATCTTCCTCTCCGCTCGAAACGCGACCACGGACACCTTTTGGTGTGCTTTGGACTTCATGGACAGTCCGGGCTGTGCGGTACCACTCCGTCCCAAATTACTGCCACGTTTGACGTTTGCCACATCATATTTTTATGACCCTGCATTAGTTTTTGTTAAAATTTGTACCAATCGAAAGAGCAAAATTTCTGCTATTTCTCACGGTGATTTTATTACCTTAAACATGGTATACACATTCGCTGCGATCATATAAAATTGCCACTCGTCTGGAAATTTTTGACCACTCACCGACCTTCATTATTGTATGGTCCAAAACAGGGGCACCAATCAAATAATAGATATATAGCGGTAAAAATCACCTCTAGCAAGAAATTACCTTGATCCATCAACACATACACAATGGAGCGCAACCGAAATGATGACATCCCGACCGCTACCAAGGTCGCTATCTTGCTCGCACTTCACGACGCTGCCGTTGGTACCTCGCTACCCCATGGGACCTTTACCCTGGTAGCATTGAAGTTCAACTGTAGCCGCACATCAGTAGCCCAGTTGTGGAAACAGCGCAGCCAATGCAACGACGATCCTGATGTGTTCGCCGCCTTGGAGACCAAGCGGCGTGAACGTTGCGGTCGGCCTCGACTCGCCAACGAAAACATCCTGAACGCCGTGACAAATGTTGGACTCGAATACCGCCAGTCAGTCCGCAGTGTCGCCTTCCACGCGAATGTGTCCAAGTCGACGCCGCATCGCCGAGTCCAAGAAGGGGTCCTGGACTTCTGATCCACGAACTTGAAGCCGGCTCTCACACCGTTGTACATGCAATCTCGTCTGGCGTTTTGCCTACAGAACGTAGTGGATAGTGTTGATGTGACGTCGGGGTATGCGTTCCGGGACTTCGACGACACCATCCATGTGGATGAAAAGTGGTTTCGTATGGAGAAATCTATCTGGTCGCGGGTTTTACGTCGCACCCAACGAAGTGTTGCCGAAGCGAAGACACAAGAACAAACGATACATTGGGCAAG